TTCCATGAAAGTGCCCTTACGCATGCGAAAGTTTCGCAGCCACTGGGAATCGTCCCACACCTGCAACACTATGCGGTCCCACCAGTCTGTGCTTGTTTCCCGGCGTTCCACGGATAGAACCTGCCCCATTAACAACATGATCTCCAAAGCACCGGGGCCCGCGGTTTGAGAGAACTCTGTGTCCATGTCCATGTCCTCATCACTCTTGTCGCTGCGCTGCCGTCGCCGCCTCCTCCTCACTTCGTTTTTCTGGTCCTGGGTCAGGTCTCTGGCTGGTGTAAATTAGCAAAGCTCCATTGAAGCCCATTATGATTTAAAGAGTTTTGAAGCCAATGGAACTATGCCTATTTAGACCTGATAAGGATCTGGCCTAATTCCCCTGACCTCCCTCCTGTCCCCCAAAATAATTTGGTTAGGACACTTTCTACATAATCTCATTTTAAAAATGAAAACTAAATTCTCTCACTTTAATCTAAAGATCTAAATGTTTACCACTCAATGCTCTTTATTTTGTGAATCTCAGGCAGAACGGACAATAGAAATTAAACCAACCAGTGTAATTTTACTTTCTAATCCATTTCACCTTCTGGCTCTTGTGCGCTAACAAAAGGGCTGTGATGTCAGGACTGAATCATTTTTCCTACAGGGTCTGCAAACAAAACAAAAACCTCACATTTTCACAAATATTTTTAATGACACTTTTTTATTTAACTGAGGTTTTGTAACAACCTGCAATTCTATATGGCTCTGCACAGTCCTGAGCTGCTAGAATATTTTGAAGGAAGTGGGTTGGCTGGTTTGGTAAAATCCAAATGACCTTTAGAATTTTTTTTTTTAATTGCATGGCAGCCACCTGGCAGTTCTACAGAATTAGAGGGGGATTAATTTACCCTGTAATTCTGTACCTCTTGATGATTTCCTGGCAGGATTCTCATTCCTGGATCTTGTGCTCCCTAGCTCAAGGAGGACTGAAATCCCCATCTCTGAAGGTTCTTAGTCACTAAAAGCTGCAGTAGTGAATCAAGAGACACTTCTCTGCTAATGCTCCTGTGCCACCCAGAGTACAGCACGCTTAGAGCTTAGAAATGGTTCCTTAACTGCACTAAGTGAAAACTCCACACTGGAATTATAATTTTTCAACTGCCAGTCTGGCTCTTCAACCTAGTCAGAGTTGATCTTGCTCCTTTTCATTAAATTTATTTCTAGAACGGTTGTAGGATGGACTTCAAAGAAATCTTGGCTGTGTACCCCAGGACTTTGGTTGGGCACTAACCACCCCAGTGCCCTTTGCCCCTGTGCAATGGCCGTTTCACACCTTATATTCACTTTGTTTTTTTCAAAGCCTCATGTTGCTTCAACTCTTTGGCTCTCTGCACTTCTAAATTAATTCAGCTCAGCAGCTACTTGCTTTAAGCTCTCTGTTCTTTTTTTCCCTAGGATGTCATCCATTGCCTTAGTCCTTTGGGAGGAAAGAAGACTGTGCAGGGGCATCAAGCAATATGTGAGGCAAAAGAAGATCTAAAAATGGAGGAGCAAATTTGTTGTATCCTCTGCCCAAAAATCATGGTTTTGTGCAGAACACCTCCAAGCCCTCTGAATCTGATCATAAGACAACCTGAAAAACAAAAAGAGTTTGAAACAGGGGACTGGGAGTCAGGACCCCAAAAATCATGACTCTCAACAACTTGATTTATAACTTTAGGTAAGTCACTTAAGACCCAGTCCTGCTCCAATTTTCATCAGTGGTAAGGTGGGTCCTTAACCTCTTTATCTCTCTGCATCCAAGCATAAAATCCAATACTTACCTTACTGACTATTATGACTTACTGATTTTCATATCTGTAAATCACTTGGAGAGCTTCAGATTAAAGGCACTACAGAAAACTCTTAACTGAAAGAAAGTGACTATCAGACATATTTCTATAAACTTAGCACCAAGCTCAAACATATCCAATAAGTGTACAAATAATTTATTTAAAAATCAAAACTCAGAGGTACAAACTAAATATCAGAACCAATAAATTCGTAAGTATAAACAATCATAGAAAATATACGAATTGTACCAGTTTAACCACTCAACATTCTTCACAGAAAATAGTGAGAAGTATAAAGACAAATCAAGGCCTAATTGTTGTTTTTTAAGACTCTAGTTTAGAGGTAGAATACTACTGTGAAAGATTCAAACTTAACAAAATTGACTTCAGTGGAGTTACACTAAGGGTGAATTTAGCCCACTATATTTATAACGTAATGAAGCCATAAAGTGGTCTCCTATATAATTATTTACACCTATTAGTTCTGTAAGTTAAGATTTGGTATGGCACTTATTCACAGTTAAAGCACCTCTCATTGTAAATACTATTAAATCGTTTATAAGAGTTAAGTGTCTTGGGTTTTACTTTTTGCTGAAGTGACGTGAACATTTAAGATAGCACAAGTCGTGGCCACCAAGACAAACCATGGGACCAGAAAGAATATGTTGTGTGAAATACTTCCTAGAAAGTTACAGTAGGAAAACGATCTATTATTAAAAGAAGGAGACTTTTTGAAAGACTTCACTATACTTTAAGTTTACTTAATTGAGTGGCACAAATCTCAAGAAAAAATAAATAAATAGAAAAAAGTCTCCTTTCCACTAGTTAAAAGCAGAGGAACTGATCAGCTTTATACTGCATTTTCATTCAAGGCATCTCCATTTCAAATTAGACATATTATACCTTCAACTCAAATAAAATGAACCAAAGTAGACTCAGAGGAATATATCTTCCATTTCTTGAGTTTGGCCAGTTCTCCAAACAATCTGCCACAAGTGGAAATAAGTCTTGGAGTTCTATAGACATTATGTACAAAAAGGTCATAAAAATGTCAATATACTTTTAAAATAATATAATCATGAACAATTTGCAAGCTCAATGGCATTCTACATTATTCAGAAAAACGAGCTTATTTACATACACACACACACACAGATTGGCTGATAAGTACATTTTCTTATTAGGTGTAGCATGCATGTTAGGGGTCTCCTAGAAATAAATCTATAAAAGTTGTTACACTTGCACCAATTAACCTATCAAAGGCTTCCACAGCCATTTGTTCAGTGATACTTGTGTTTTAGAATGATCAAACCAAACTTGTAATTTTAATGTTTTCCCTGCATGGTGGGAAAAGCATTTCTGTAAAGATGGGATTTGCTAGATCACTCAGTATAAGCCTAACTCTGCTTCCTTTGAAGTGAATGGGAGCAGTATGAGACCACTGCTTCATGCTTTTGAAAAGCTCTCCTTCTTAGGCCTTGGCTACACTGGAGAATTCACAGCGCTGCCATGGCAGCGCTGTGAAGCGCGAGCGTAGTCGCGCTGCCAGAGCTCTCTCGCAGCGCTGCAAGTACTCCACCTCTCCGAGGGGAATAGCTTGCAGCGCTGTGAGCGAGCGTGCAGCGCTGCAGGCGCTGATTACACTGGCGCATTACAGCGCTGCAATCGCTGCGCTCGGTGTGGGGGGGGGGGGGGGTTTTCCCCCCCCGAGAGCAGGAAGTGGCAGCGCGGTACAGCGCCAGTGTAGCCAAGGCCTTAGAGCACTCATTCATTTTGTTTACCAAACAGCATAAAGGGGGAGGGAGGGTGTAGAGGACAGATTAGTCACCACCCAAGTATCTAGAGCAACAGATTCTAAATTCCTTATATACTCACAACTCCCATTGACTTCAATGACAATTCTAGATACCTGAGGAATGCACTATAGTAATCATTACATAAGTTTCATACAAGAAAAGAGAAATGGTGATCTATCGGTCTTCTCCAATGGGGAATTTCCCCACTTTTCCTTCTAAGGAAGGAAAGAGATTACTTAATACAGTATATAAATCCATTGTTCTCTAAATAGATTTTGAAATGGTCTTCCTGTGAACATTCACAGTCTATCACTTATTACATGAAGTGGAAATTAAAATAAACTGCCTTCTTCAATCATAAAAATGTAGAAATAGTGTAAGGAAACCAAAACAACACAGACCACAACTAGGACTTGTGTACACATATCCCAGAATTATTTGAGAATACGTGAGCTCAGCTAAGCCTATTTTAGCATACATCATGTTTTTATTTGCTATTTTTCTGCTTTATCTTTCGTTATCTCTTTTCCTTTCCATATTTATGGTATTATTTAGCCTTTTATTTCATGCTGCTCAACACAATACATTTTTGCTTAAGTACAACTAATTACTTTTAATCCTGCAAAAGCTATTAATCCAAATCTCTCTCTCTCTCTCTAACGTTTATATATGCTAAATTTAGGCAATTTATTTTCTACACATGCAAGATATACCGCACAATAACAGAAGAGATATTTTGTGCTTCAAAGCTTTTGAAAAAGTTAACAAGATACAGCTGAATATTATAAATTGGTATATATTTTGCTATAACTTCACAAATGAAAGATTTTTGGATGTTATATAGAGAGTTGGATGTACAGGTTACAAGTAAAAGTTGATACAGATATCGGGTAAAATAAAAGTCTTCATGCATTTGTGTTTGCAAGTCCCATTACTACAGGGAATACTATGAACTTCTATGGCTTCCATGGAAAATTAGTTTTATGGAGGTATTACCTTTTGGCACTTACATAACATATGTTGACTCTTCTCAGCTTAGTTCCTGGCAGCAAATGAGGCACTTTTATATAAAATAGCAAAATTAAAGTCTTCAGTAATTGATACTGTTCTTATCCAAAGAAATTAAGAGAGCTCTAACTATTTTTCAATATATGATCTATTACACTGACATTCTGTCACTAGAGAGAGTGAACTTGACACTTCCACCCAATCACCACTTCGTGATTCCTTTCAAGATTTGGCAACTGTTTCGTGTACAGGAGAGAAATCTTCTCACACTTAATGGTACACTCCAAGTCCCTTTAAAGAGAGACATGAGAGTTCCACACCAGATTGATACAAACCCCCCCACCCCCCCAAGGGCCCGATCCTGAAAGAGGCAGAGATCTCCAACAGCCATTGATTTCAATGGAAGTAAAGATCTCACATCTCCTTAGATCAACTAAATGCCAACCCAATTACACTACAGATATATTTTAACTAGCATGAGGTGGCAAGATGTATATTTAATATACTTCACCCTCAATTATCTAAATGTTCTCATTCAAAATAGAGTCAAGTGCCCTAGCTTCTTAATTACAACAAGAATTCCCAGATTACCCAATACTTATATAACATCCCCCAAGACTTTTGGAAAAAAAGAAGGTTGTACTATATATAAAGATAAGCTTTATTCTGTCAAGGTGAACTTCACACCTGTGCACAGGGCTGGTAAAAGGCCCATACACTACTTGAGTTCCACTTCAGCTCTATTTTGGGGACTCAAGCGGTTCGCTGGCCTTCTGCCAGCTGTCTGCACAGGGGTGAATTCCATCCTCAGGACCTAATAGGGACCGGGAATGAAGGCCTTTAAAAAATAATAATCTCCAGAATTTAACAGGGTGACATGTTTGGAAAAATCACTTTACATTTAAAGAAGCAATAGCTGACCTTGTGAAAACTATCTTTGTTCATGTGATTAGTTGCATTGACCTCAGAGAAATTCACACAAATAATTCAAAAAGCATCGATCGCTCATGTTGCAAAATGCAATACTAGTGATCTGGAGGTTCAGCCTTACAGTGCATTTGCTGATTTTTTTTATTTTACTGATGACCTTTCCCGATTACATGGCACAATAATTTTCTATTGCTACTTTTGTGCCATACTGAAGATTATTTTATTTCCCTGAATGAGGTATAACAGGATAAAGTGGGGTCTGCATTATGCCTAACTGCCATTTATAATTTATCTGCTGTCACTGCTTCCCCAGAGTTTAAAAGGAAGGTGTAGCAAAACTAAATCAGCACATTCAGACACACACAGGTTTACAATTAATATTTAAAACCAATTAGTGTCAAATGTTTAATGCTCCTTTACATGGGGAAAAAAAACAACATGGGGCAGAAAACAGTTTCAACTCATGGAATTTCCTCCTAATATTTACACCTGAGATACCAGCAGATAACAGGGCCATCCTTGTGGAGGTTCAATACTTCTAATCAGGTCATCAAGCCTCCCACTTTAACCACACCAGTATGGCTCCCTCCAGAACTATGTTTTCATCTTGTTCCTACACACATTGCTGCGGTTCACTTGGCAGAGAGGGACACTGTATATGCTTATGTCACTAGGTCCTTTTGGAGCCCTTACTCACGAAATACTGCCATTGACTCTAGCATGAGTCTTACCTGAGAAAGGACAGCACGATTGGGTCGTATGGGAGACAAGGGTCAAGACTTGTTTTAAAAATGCATCCCTAAAGTTTGACTCTCCTAAGTCCATATTTAAGCTTCTAAATAAATGGCCTATTTTCAAAGGTGCAGAGCACTCAGGAGTTTCAATTGTCTTTTAAAAAGAAAACATAAAAGAATCTTGTTTTTCTGCTGATGCAGCTGTCTCGGGCCTACCGCCCCATCACTTGCAACTTGTCCTGTCAGTAACTTGGGATTCTAGTTTTAGAGCACTTACTTTTGAAAATCTTGACAGATATCTAAGTTCGGGTCCACAGAAACTCAAGGGATTCTTGAGTTGTCCTTTTTCCTGTCAGTTTATACCGATACATGCACAGATAGTCTTCATTCTTCCTCTATTTCTATCTTTCCCCATGCTGTTTCCTTATTTTTACAGAACATAAACTCAAGCTCTGACTTTTAGGAAAAATAAAAACTTACTAAGACTTATGTACTTTAGCTGAATTGAGCCAATAGGAAAAAATCATAATCCTTTGAATTATATTTTATGAAAACCAGTTATTAAGATACAAGAGTCATTAAGAAATAAAGTGCGTAATGTCCACCAGAGAGCTTTGCTCATTTCAGTTTAGCATAGTTAGCATCAACATTCAATTAGAAGATTTAGCAAGATGCTATTAAAAGTTAAGCCTTTCTGGTAACATGGGTCTAGGAATCCAGAATAAAATATATGAAAAGAATACAAATTCTGTATAAATGGCAAAAAAACAAACTATAACTGTATTCCCTAATTTTCCATGGAGCTAAGCCTACTACACAGCTATGCCAACAGGCAGCACCTGAAATGAAGCATCACATTCTGTTTGCTTCCCTTCCACTACTCCTGAATTCAATTTGCAACTTTCTGGTGTCTGATTAATTTCATTTTGTGCAGGTGAAGGTACGTCTTGAGAGACATTTATAGAAACAGCATCAGACAAAGAATACGGTTTTTCTGCTGATGCAGCTGTCTGTGGCCTACTCCTTTCTGTCCCATCACTGCAACTTGTCTGGTTATCAGCCTCTTCTAGCTGCTGAACTGACAACAAGTATTCTTGGAGAAGACTACTGTCCTGCTCACTATTTGAGCTCTCTTTACTCCATTCCTCATGGTCTGCCTGGACATCCTCTGTATCTGAAATACATTCTGAGACAGGATCGCCACACTGTTTGACTGTTTCTATAGAATTCCCAATCAGAGAGCTCTCACTTCCTTCTGTGGAACTCTTTTCAGAGCCATGAGAGTCATTAACATGAGTTTGGTCAGTTATGGAGGAGTGAAAGCCAGAGTCTGGGAACTCAGGTAAAGTTTTCTCATGAAGAGCTTCAGTAGCTGAAACCAACCAGGTAGAACTACCAACAGGAGAGGTTTCTTGATTGAGCCTGGATGACTGGACAGATTGTTTGGATGGACACAAAGTACTTGATGCAGAAACACCATGCTGCCAAGTGCTAAGGTTTTGGTTCACTGAAAGTTGCCACTGCTGAAGGGATCTAACCTGTAAACCATAGGGAAAAAATCATGATTAAATAAGGGAAATAAAGGCACTTTGTTTCTTAGGAATGTTTTGTAAATTGGCCAGTCAATCTAATATTCAATGTAAGATGCAAGGACTAAATAAAAAGTAAGTGCACTTTGTCTCAAAGAAGGGAAAGTTTCATTTCCCACTGTTAAATAGAGGAGGGGAGGGAAGGGGAGGCGAGAAAAGGGAACGGGAAAAGAAAGGAAAAGAAAAAAGAAACGAAACCAAACCATTGAGGAAAATTTTAAGAAGGGACAACACATGTTTAAAAGAATATAAAGGTTTCACTGTCTTGGTACTACAACTACAGAAGTACTCAACTCTTTGAAAGAGGTCCACCTATAAGATGTAGCATCAACCTTTTAGCTTTAGAATTTAGTTAAAGAACAACGTGTAGCCTTCAGAACTAGTATGGTTTCATAATCTTCTCAAGTCATTCAGAGAATACTGTGGCAATAGCCAGTTATTCTTTCACTAAACCCACTGTGGGTTTCTACATACATTTTCAAACTGCTAGTGGCAGACAATATAGCCATTAACAGAACTTTCTAGTAAGTGATCCACCATGCCAAGTCAGTTTTGCTTCCCATTTGCTTCCACTTGACTCATTTACCTTCTCCTGTATTTTCTCCTTACTTTTATTCCAAATTGATTTTATTTTTAGTTATTAAAACATATATAAGTTTCTAATTTTGCAGACAGCTCTGCATACTTTTTCTAGAATGCTAATGGCAGGCCTTATAGCCAATTAGCAGATAACCTTCTACTAATGCATCTAGCGTGCAAGGTCAGTTTTGCAAGGATGAGCTATACTTTGCATACTTAAAAAGAATATGTATTTAGAAGCATGCTTTTTAGTTAATCTGTAAAGAGGAAAATGAGAGAGAGAGAAAGAAAGAAAGAAGCTTACCTGGTTCCAAAGGTATCTGACAGCCTCCTCTTGTACAAGTTTTTGAATCCTTTCTTCTTCTCTTTCTTTTTTTAATCTACACACACACCCAAGATACTTCGTTTTAAATATTGAAATAAAGCAGTGGTTTTTTTGGTTGACAATACCAGTACATTTGTATAAAAGCACAATTTTATATGAGGCTATTCTTGAAAGATACTACAGAGCAAACATTTAAATATTGCAACTTGACTTATCAGCATCTTTTAGCTGTTGAACAGACTTCAAATACTGTTGGAGAAAACTACTATCCTGCTCACTGTTAAAGCTTTTTGTACTCTATTCTCCATGGTCTACTGAACATCCTCTGTATCTGAAGGACATAGGGTCCTCATGCTGTTTAACTGTTTACCTGTTTCTATAGAACTCCCCATCAGAGAGCTCTCTCTTCCTCCTGTGGAACTCTTTTCACAGATACATCCATTACTTTGGTCAATCATAGAAAAAAAGTGAAACCCACTGTGGGTTTTTACACACATTTTCAAATTGCTAGTGACAGACAAAACAGCTATTAGCCGACAACTTTCTAATAAGGGATCTACCAGGCCAGGCCAGGCCAGGTCAATTTTGCTTCCCATCAGCTTTAAGATGTGGGTAATTACAAACAAATGACTGTGAAGTGTGGTTCTCTTCTGTAAAGTAACACTGTGAAAGTGGCATTATGAGGTTGTATTTTATTGTGTCTCATTGGTTTTGTATAAAATTTTCTCACTTTAGCCAATGCTTTTCTAACTTCTAGCTCCATTACTCAAACTAATCTCCAAGAGCCAAGCTGAGATGTTTCCCTTTTCATGCATCAACGTCAGTAATAAAGGTTCTGCATGCATCTGTTCAAACCCAACCATAGGTTAATGGATTGCACATATGTAACCAAAGGCATCATCCAAAAGCAATGGGATTTCACAGGTGTCACTGAGGGCTTAATTTGACTCTCAGAACCTTTATTACTTGTGATGAGATGGAATGATCCTAGAGCCTCACTCAGATCCCAGGTTGAGTTTACAGGGCTGACAGAAAATAATCTTGTAAACTGAGCAACTTTGAGATGAAATCATACAAACATAGACTCCTATGATGCCTTGTTACACAGTCACTTTTCAGAGAAAACCCTCATATTCAAAATGAAAAAACCAAATACCCCCAACACTGATTTACTGTGATCTCAGCAAGGATCCTGGAACACCACCTTTCACATTCAGAACCATTCATGCTCTCGCTGAACTCTAAGAGAATATCTTATTTTGCTTGTATATTAGAGTCTATTGCCCTGAATGTGGGAGGATGAAGAAGAGAGAAAATTTCCCTTTAACTAAACATGTGTAGATAGAGCTATAGTGAAGAGAGGGGAGTTACATTCATGCTGATAAGGGAGACCGAAGAGAAAGCTGACTCCTGCTGTGATCATAGTAGTTCTGTGTTAGCATACCAAGACCTACTGTGTATAGAGTTACAGTCATACAAATAGTTCCATAAGCCAAGATAAGTTTATACTCATTCTGAAATGCATTAGAACAAGGTATTTTTTCTGTTCTGATTACATTAATTCAGTTTTGAGAATAAGAACATAAAATAAGACTTTCGACTTACTTTCTTATTTCATCAGTTAAGAAAACAATATGCTCTTGCATTCTGCTTAGCCGAATTTCATAACGCACTTCCTTGGCTCTGGAATGGTAGTTTCTGGTGTGGAATCCCCTCCAGCAGGCCTGAAGCTTGGTGGCCGCTTTGTTCATTCTTTGAAGTTCAGCATCTTGGTCAACAGCAGCTGATGCATCAATAGAATTTCTCTCTATAGTTTGGTCAATATAAAGATTTTTAATTAATGGTTCATCATCCGTTAATGGTGGCTTGAGATGGCTGCACAGAACTTGGTCAACAGATGCTAAACAGTCATTAATACTAGCAGTTGGGTTAGCAGTGACTGTTGCTGGACATGGGGAAGTCAATATTCCATCCTCATTATCTTCCTCTTGAGTTTCCACAGTTTCTGCTGCTTTGATGGAACACTCTTTTGTAATCCAAGAAGTCTTTTCCTGCTTGTTATCATCCTCAACTTTATTGACCTCTTTCACAAATACAATCACCGTATTATCATCATCTTCTAGGTTCAAATTGATTCCATGTAGCCTTAATTCTGTAGTGGGAGATACTGGAGACAGTCCTGAAGCAACTGGCATAAAAGTAGACTCTGAGGACAGAAGGCTGCAGTTCAATTTGTCCTCGTCAGTCTGTACATCCTCCAGGTACAGCTCCTTGCGACAGCTTCTTTCAGCTTGCACTGAAGCTGGAAAGACATTCTTAACTGCGTAGGAATGGTCATCACTGGAGCCTGGTCCAACCCAAGAATTCCTTTGGATAACAGGTTCTAGATGAACAGAGAGCCAAATTTAGACTACACAATATTTAAATATATAATTTATTTATTTAAATCAACCCAAGTATTTACTGAGTAGTAATAGGATCTGAAGTGCGAACAATGGCAATCATATGATTATTTAACATAGATATTGCAGTAGCACCCAGGGAACCCCACTATATACCAGGGTGCTATATACTATACAAAAACAGTAAGCAATTGTCCCTCACAAGAAGAAATGTCTAACTAGACAGAACAGTCAAAAAGTAGTAGGCACATAACAGAAGTAACGAGCTAATAGAAGGTATTATTATGAGTTACTTATTAATCCCATTAGTGACTATTTTCAAGATTTCAATAAGTGATAAAAGTGGTATTAGAAAACAAAGTATACCAATACCTGTATTACTTAAGTTAAAAACAATCCAAACAAATACAAAGACCTGAAGGATCCGTTCCAGAGTAGGACTACATTGCTAATTTTCCCTTCACAAAGTTATTTGTGTGCAAACAGCTATTTTGTTAATTTCCACAGTGAACAGTAGCTCCCATCACCAACTCAGATTAGGTAACAGTGGCAGATTTGGATCTTACCACTTTCAAGAATTATCTGGGGCCCTTGGATTGGACTGTTGTGTTCATATATAGCAGGCACCACTTTGTTGGGAGTAGAGGATGTAGGCGGCTCTTCATTTTGGCTTTGGTACATCAGCTGCTTCTGGTGGAGCCTAAACAGAAACAAAATCCAAGTAATTTGAAAAACTGTCTTTTAAAATAAGAATTAAACTAGTGGTGCATAAGGGAACTATAACTACCAGCTATTCTGTGGAAAAAACAATTGGTTAAACTATTCTAAAACAAGGGGCTGATTGTACAAATCCTTACTCATACAAGAAGTTTCACTGAAGCCACCTTACAACAGTTAGGGCCTGCAGGACCTGGTTCTAAACTGTCAAAATTAATTAGGTTATCTTTAAAATTCCTCAGTTGAATAGAATAGCACTTACTAAGTGCCATCGATAGTTCAAGCTAAAATGTTCTCACCTCTGCTTACTCAGTATTTTTTCCAGTTTGGCATCCTCTTCAGTCTGGAGACCAAATGTAGAGGTAAGAGGACAAACAGTGGCCAGATACTGGACTAACTGAACATGCTGGCCAGGTCGATATGATCGTCCTTTACCTTGACTGTAAAGCCATTCTGCTTTCAAACTGGGGAGGGGGGAAAAACGCACAGTCATTGTCTTGGTATAAAATCATAGTTGTATACAAGTCATTTTCTTATTGCTAAGCTCTCTTCGTAACTTTTCTTTTACTGTGTGCCTTTGCTATATAAATGCAAATCATGGTCCCCTGCACAAAGGCCAGAGAAACAGAGATTTTCAGAGGAGCTGATGAAGAATCTCTCACAAAAAAGGGGCCGTAAAGCAGAAGATCTATTCTGCAACTGATATTCTAGCCCATGGGCTGGCAATGCTCTTCACCCATCCAGTCTCCGTTCATTTTTTTTAAATGAATTTGCTTCACCTGTGTTCATGCCCCTTTTTTGTATTCTATAAACATATGGATGAATGAGTTTATTAGCAGAAAGGTTCACTGAAACAAACTTTATAAGCATATATTGCAGAATCTTGATAGAAAGTACACAGTGAATTTTAAATTGTGAGTATTCACATTGTAAACCTTAAGAGTTATGCTCATCCAGTCAGGGAGCAGCGATATACTAAGCAGAAACATACCATGTCCAGAACAGCTTGTATTTTGTGCACTATCTATTCACAATGAAATGAATCATGACAAAGCATGAGTATTTTTTCCTGTACACTGAAACATATAGTAGCAAACAAACAAAGACAGAATGGATAAGTGCAGTTGATCTGGAGATACATTTCCACTCACGCAAAAATAAAATACTAATTCACTTTATCCAAACATATTAACCAATTTGAAAAGAGCAATTAAAAAAATTATTTCACCTCTCTTTCTGAGAAATCACATATCCATCCAGAACTTTAAGATTCAGACACCAGCTGACAATATATGGCCGATAGTCAAATCCAGGAATAGAAGGTGTGGCCATCACACAAGGGTTATTCATGATTGACAACTGCTCCAACTCAGGAAAGGAAGCCAAGAAAGAAATCTGTAACAAAGGACGTCTTTGTTGACAGAAGAGAACTACTGCATGTTTAGAAAACGTAATGTATTTCCATTGGTTAGACATCTTGGGCAGAGTACCAGCATTATAGATGCGATAACTTTTGCTTGCAACACATACACTACTTCAAAAAAGAAAGAAGTACTAACAATACTGTGAACACCACTGCCATCTAACCATCCACTTTCCTGTAACACAGCAACCCCCATGGCCTTTGGAAAGAATCACCTCCTTTCAGTGCCCGGGTATGTATGGAGCGATTAGATATTTGTGTTATTCTGTATCAGCACAGGAGAGAAGAATGTCTTACCACTGTCAGGCCAATCAGTAGAAAAGATGGACTGTGACCATGTGATTCTAAGGAAAAGGACGGAGGAATGTACATCTGCCCAAACTAAGGTGTCCCTCCACCACGAAGGCTACGCTGACAATTTGGCAGGAGCAACTACTTATTTTAAAATAAAATAAAAAATAAATAAATAATAAACAACTATAGCCAGAAATGGGCCATTTTCATTACCACTAGAAACAGTTATTTTTCTCTCCTGCTGACAATAGCTCACCTTAACTGATCACTCTCCTTACCATGTGTAGGGTAACACCCATTGTTTCATGTTCCCTGTGTGTGTGTGTGTGTGTGTGTGTGTGTATATATCTATATCTATCTATCTTCCTTCTGTATTTTCCACTACATGCATCCGATGAAGTGAGCTATAGCCCATGAAAGCTTATGCTACAATAAATTTGTTAGTCTCTAAGGTGCCACAAGTACTCCTATTCTTTTTGCGGATACAGACTAACACGGCTACTACTCTGAAATATAGCCAAAATATTTGCCATGTGTTTCATGGTAAAAGAACAGAACAGAGATGGGCCCAAACCAAAACTACAAATACAAACTTTAGGAAAGTTTGGGTCCAGGATGTGCACTTCAAACCTATCCTTTGAGAACAGAAATTGTTTGTTGGATTTCTCAGCTGGCTTTGACAGCTGATCAGATTTGTCCTCACTCTGTAGATACAGGAAGAAAAACCAGGAGAAGTATTTTATCAATTCGTAGGCAACATCTGGCCCTTGGAGTGGACTTTGGGTATCTTTGAGCAATTAAACAAGGAAGGAGAAAAATGACAGCTGAAAGTTAAAACTTCCATCCCAACACATTTCTTTTTGGTTTTAAGGAAAACATCCAAACCAGAGGATCAGCTGGTTTGTGTAGTTGTTCACTGCATGAATCTTTACTACAGAAACAAATTAGTACAAACAAACCCCAGTAGTCTAGTATATTTTGAGAAAGCAAAGCTGGTTTTACTTACATTCTTGATACTTTGCTCTCAAAAGAGCTATCCTTTTTTACTGTAAGTAAAAATTTGGGGATAAATATTCCACATTTCTTACCTCATTTAAGTCTCTGATTTCATTTTCTGCCAAAGAGAGAATAGTCAGACTTTGAGGTAGGCAAACAGGTGCCATACGAAGTGAGGTTATAATATTTCCATGCAGCAGCAGAGTCTATGAAACAAAAGTATTGTAATGAAATGTATGCTTTTTTTGTCAAAACATGAATTTTGTGAACAGTGCAGAACACACACACAGTGAAATGACAATGTAAAGCTTTGCCAGTGTTTGCAAACAGATTATTGGTTGTTATAGTCAGGGAAAATAGTAATACCTTGAAAGAGTCTCATATTTAAAAGCAAAATTTCCCTTTATAAAATGTATGGTTTTAAAGTTTCTAACTACCGATATTTTTTAAAGTACATTTGGAAATGTATCTTTTTCCTATGCAGATAGTTCAGTGCAAAAGAGGTAGCAGAAATTGCTTTGTCCTGATCCAGTACTTAAGAGGAGGAGGAGGAGTTTATTCTGAGGGCAGGTCTATACTACTGCGGAGATCGACGCTCTGAGATCAATCCACCAGCGGTCGATTTAGCAAGTCTAGTAAAGACCTGGCAAATTGACTGCAGATTGCTCTCCAGTCGACCCCTGTACTCTACCCCTGACGAGAAGAGTAAGGTAAGTCGACAGGAGATTTTCTCCCGTTGACACCTCGCGTTGTAGACCCCGCGGTAACTCGACCTAAGGTACATAGATTCCAGCTACGTTAATAACGTAGCTGGAGTTGCGTAGCGAAGGTCGACTTACCGTGGTAGTGTAGACATAGTCTGAAAAGAGAACTGGGAGCCAGGAACTTAAGTTCTCATCACTACACTCATACCAATTCACTATGTGGCCTGGGACAAAATTACAGATTGTTCACAAGTGAATCACAAATTCTCTGCCTCCATCTCATGTTTAAAATGGGATAATAATTTTTTACATACCTCCGTAGTACAGCGATTATGGTGATTAATTAAAATTCTTTTAAAAGTGAATGGATAATGAAAAATGCTATCTGCTTAGAGTTACTATCACAACTGGTTTTTGCAAGAATATTCCAAAGACAGAAAGGTTAGGAAGCATTTACCTTTAGAGACAAAAGCCTGGAGAGATCTCCTATTTGAGGTATATTGTTGTCTGACAAATCAAGATGTTGAAGAGATGAGCAGCTATTGATCTGATCTATGGTCTACAACAAGAGAAATAATCATATTAATTACTCTAAGACTTTCTTTTTCTATTAAATAAAAGTTGATATCAACATTCTGCAATCTTTTCTGAAGCTAATGAGACTGGACAAATTGTACCATTTCAAAACTATATTATTAATACAACTATATTAAAAACAAGATTATTAAGTTTAGTTTATGACCTGCATTTCAAAAGATTACCCAAATCCCTTTATATTTTGGGATTCGATTATTTATGTCAGTTTTACTAGGAGATCCCTTACACAAATACGGCCTTTCTCCAATTCAGAGACTGGAAAGACACAAACGATCCATTTTTGCTCCCATTAAATTCCCATTCACTTTAATGGGAACAGAATCAGATTATGTAGTGATGTTTTTTCCAATTTACCCACATTCTGAACTACAGATTTCAGAAAACTTACAAAGAATAAATATTTCACCTTAAGGTTATTTCCTGCCAGGTTTAGCCATTCCAAGTGCACCAGATCCTTCAGCCCCTCCACATAACCAATACTGTTGTGAGGCAAGTTTAGTACCCGGAGCTGAGTCAGCTTTGCCACACCCATCATCCTTACAAGTCGATTGTTGGCTACTGACAGCTGTAGGTTGAATATAAGAAACGTTTTATTTTTACTGTCAAAGTGTATGAACAACACAGCCTATCAGAGACCTTGCTCTGATTTAACAGCTAAATATCCAATCCAACAAAAATACCATCAATCTAGATTTTCCATTTTCACACAAAGAATAACGTGGACAAGACAAACTGCAGAACCGTACAGACTCTTTCTTCATCAAACTCTTTTAAAATCTCATACAACAAACGGGGACAAATTCTCCTGGGCTGTTACCTGCTGAAAACAAAGGAACTGAAACCTGGAATGAATTTAGCAATTGGTAATCAGTATTTTAAATCAGCTTTGCAAAGTCACCATGAAAATGTACTATTCCAGGATCAAAATCTACTTGCTCATCCTCACCATAGTGGAGGATAAAAAAAAAATATATTTTACACAACTGTCAAAAAATAGTTTTTATCCCCAGAAAGAGAGTAGTTTTTAATTATGTTTTAAATACAGACCACTTATAACGGCCACTTTCTACTCTATGAATTTGTCAGCACCCGTTAAGATCTAGGCAAATATTAATTCTACAATCAAAAACTCACAGAAAACTTGAATCCATATTGGAAATACACTTACTGCCCTTTAACCCTGGTGAAGCTACCATGTACTGATACCAATATATGTTTTAATATGAAGCATCATGAGAAACTGACCCCATCATCTGTACATATTTTTGATATGTCAACACCAAGTAGTAAAACTGATAATGTCTTAGTTATAGTTACTCTGATACAACAGGACCTGTGGTTCAGCTGTGAAAAGGATTAACTACTCTGTTTTTCTACTGTAATTTAACCTGAATTCAAATTTGCTTGTGTGAACTCACAGTGCATTTGTAGCTCCAAGCAGGTATAATATATCTAAATACTAGTCCATCCCAAATGTAATGTATGGGCTTTAGGAATGATAAATTCCTACATAAATGGTCAAAGCACAAATTAAAACAATGTTATCCTAAGCCAATATTGTGAGCGCTGGGCTTGAAAGACTCCTTTCATATATTAGTTTAGATTCTCCTCTGGAAGCTAATAAGGGGACTCAAAAAGACTGTTATTCATGTCTGGCTGGAGGCACTTCCAATAATAGTTAATGATGGACTTGGACTTGTTAAAGATGTCCTGTGGAGACCAATGCCCTGATCCTACAAACACGTATGCATGTGTTTAACTTTACTACCATGAATAGCCCTATTCATTTCAATAGACTACTCCCGGGACTAAAGTTAAGCATGAACATTAGTATTTGCACAATCAGGCCCTAAGTGACTCACGGCATTAATGTCAGAATGTAAAGCCATTTAATTTTACAGTTAGCACTTTTACTTCTTGTATTTTATCCTGTTTTACATTTATTTTTTTCTTAACCTCTCCTTGTGTTAATAAATTTTTATATCATATTCCAGGGGTTATTTACCATTCAATTCATTTTAGCAGTTGTATATTTATAACTTGGAAGTTTACATACATTAGCACAGGACTCACTTATGACTACAGTCTTACATTTTATGTTGCAAAGGCCTGGCTATTAAATGGATTGCCCTAAAAGCGATATTGGAATTTGTGATCATTTATTTTCATGCCTTTATAACTACTGGTAGTATTTTTCTTTTTAAGCACCAATAAAACGTTTGTTGACAAAACGGAACAATGAGGATGAACTATAGGTCAAACGGAGAAGGGTCCTGTTTAAGAGCGTGCAAATGAAAGGAGGACTGCATGGTCTGGTGACAGGGCATAGCACTAACAGTCATGAGATAGGCATCTATATCTAGCTGTGCCATTGTGTGTGACCTTTTGAGTCACTTAACCTCCTAGCACCTCAGCTACACCACATGTAAAAAAAAGGATAATAGTTACTCTCTTTGTAAACAGCTCTGAAATCCAAGGATGGAAAGTGCTATATACATACTTATTTATTACACATGGAAAATCTATGTTAAAAGAACGTTATTATTCATAGATTCATAGATTCTAGGACTGGAAGGGACCTCGAGAGGTCATCGAGTCCAGTCCCCTGCCCGCATGGCAGGACCAAATACTGTCTAGACCATCCCTGATAGACATTTATCTAACCTACTCTTAAATATCTCCAGAGATGGAGATTCCACAACCTCCCTAGGCAATTTATTCCAGTGTTTAACCACCCTGACAGTTAGGACCTTTTTCCTAATGTCCAACCTAGACCTCCCTTGCTGCAGTTTAAGCCCATTGCTTCTTGTTCTATCCTCAGAGGCTAAGGTGAACAAGTTTTCTCCCTCCTCCTTATGACACCCTTTTAGATACCTGAAAACTGCTATCATGTCCCCTCTCAGTCTTCTCTTTTCCAAACTAAACAAACCCAATTCTTTCAGCCTTCCTTCATAGGTCATGTTCTCAAGACCTTTAATCATTCTTGTTGCTCTTCTCTGGACCCTTTCCAATTTCTCCACATCTTTCTTGAAATGCGGTGCCCAGAACTGGACACAATACTCCAGCTGAGGCTGGTTGAGTCAAGCACTCAAAAGAAAGGAAATACCAGAATTAAGATTACTTTTGACTTCATTTGGAACTGGGTTCACTCAATATCTGAGTACCAGGCACCAGCATTTTTTTTTTTTTAACTAGACAATGAAATAAATTTTCTCTGAATTATATAGGTAACCAGGGAAACAATTTGTGCTACTATCAGCTGCAGACCTGCACTGGACTGCACTGAAAAAATCTCCTTTTCCATTCAGAAATATAGGAAGTTGCATAGTTAGTTTACTATGAAAAAGGAACTTTTAGAACTCATTTAATTAATTGTTGTAATAGAAATATTTTAACAAGCACAGTGCGGTTAAGTTATTTCATGGCCAACTCGAATCATATAATACCGACCTGCATTAAGTTCCTGCATTTCTCCAGGTGTTCCAGTTTAATTATTTGGTTTTTATCCAGAATTAGAGTATGAATGTCAGCATCACAGGGTAATGTTGGATCCAACTTTTGCAACCCCTGGCCTGACCAATTAACTACTGAACCTTGGAGAAAAGGGGAAAAAAGGAGTATAAGCACGTGTGCTGCCAATTCGCAAGCAATATAAACAGACTTATATTCATGACTAGAGAGAAATAACTGAATTCTATCATTTGCATCTCTGAGACTATGTCAAATGAATATTTCAGACTGAATAAATGAGAAGGATGACCCAGTGATTAGGACACTACCTTGAGACTTGGGAGTCCATATTCCACCACAGACTTTCCTGTGTGACCTTCGGCAAGTCACTTAGGTTCTATGCGTCTCAGTTCCCCTTCTAAAGCAGCAATAATTCTCTACCTCACAGGTATGTAGAGGTAGGTAAAACATTCAAGACTGCGATAATGAAGTAATGGGTGCCATATAAGTATCTCAGACTGACAGGTAGATATAATGGCTCTACAAACAATATTATAAGGCTTCAGCCTTGAAAAAATGCTGTGAAAATTTTCCATCCCAGTCACCAAATCTACTCACCATCTTTTACCATGATTCTCGTAATGAAAAATTTAATACATCCCTTGTCTTTCAAAAAATCTGATCACCTTTGTTGTAGTAGTCATAAGAGAAATACTGCAAAAAAGGGATCACTATATTTAGTGGGAATAGGAGCTAACAAAGACTTGTAATTCTTTCTCAGCGAGCAATCTCATTAATAGGAAGTCGAGGAGATTCATGACACTACTCTGAATAGCAGTAACAAAACATACCAGAGTCTTATTATTTTCATTCTGCTGCTGCTTGGGAAAGCTATGAGCAGCAGAAGTACTGGGGCTGTCTGCACATTCAGGAAAATAACACTGCATTGTTTTTTATCTGGAAGGTTGTCTATTTACACCAACTTCTGGGAAGGAGTTTTTTCTTTTAAAAGGCTTAAGTACCAACACAGAGAAATCTTCCCATTTGTTGCTGGAAAGGTTTTCCCCACTCCCCACCCCCTAAACTGGGAGCATGTATACTAGACTGGTTGGGATTTTTTTGACAAAATCTTTTTTTATTGTTTTTGAAAAATGCTGTTTCATCAAAGCTGTAATGTTTTGAGAGATACAGATTTCAACAAAGTTTCTGATGGGAAGGTTTATGATCTTCGAGTGGACTTTCTGGTGGAAACATGACCTTTTTGACACAATTCTGTTTCACAAAAATGTCCAAAAGGTTTTGTTTTTATTCCAATGTGAAACAAAAACAAATTTCAAAACCTTAAAAGTTGTCACAAAACAGAATAGTTGTTCTCTGGCCATCTGTAATGTATATTACAACTCTACACAGCATCAAACTAACTTTCCCATAAGGACCAGAAATGGGGAAACTGATGGGCTAAATGTTCCAGATTCCAGCACTGCCTCTAGTGGAAAGCCTGAGCAAACAGTACGCACTAAAAGTATCCAACACTTGAGTGCAGATATATTTTGGGCAAGACAAAATTCTAAAGTTGAGACCCACCACTTAAATCTGGGGACAGAGTTAAAACATTCCAGACAAAAGCACTTGTTGTAACAGAGCTGAGAAGGAGGGGCAGTCGCCAAAATAAGTGAAACTTAGACCACTAAAGCTTCAGAATCTACAGTTTCCAATGATCTCTTTCAGATATTAGTCCAGCTTAGGAGAAGGTACTGACTGTATCCTATTTACAGCACATGTAAACCACTCTCCCATTCCTACCCACTGCTGGTTCCCCCCCACCATCAGCTCAGTAGCAGACCACTGCCCTCTAGTGTCAAACTCTGAGGTAGTAGGAAACAATCAGTTCTGACAATCAATATGGGTTCTGTATGACTATATTCTTAGGCTTGGTCTACACTACGACTTTAATTCGGATTTAGCAGCGTTAATCCGAATTAACCCTTCACCCATCCACACTACAGAGCCAGTTAATTCGAATTAAAGGGCACTTAAAATCGATTTCTGTACTCCACCTCGACGAGCAGAGTAGCGCCAAAATCGATTTTGTTAATTCGAATTAGAGTTAGTGTGGCCGCACACCACTGAATTAATGTGGTTAAATTAATGGGGTAGTGTGGCCGCACACCACCGAATTAATGTGGTTAAAAACCGAATTCATGTGCTTAGTGTGGCCGCGCACAATCGAATTTATACAACCTGTTTCCCAAATTCGAATTATCTAAATTCGGATTAATCCCGTAGTGTAGACATACCCTTATACTCCTGCTGGAACCATGTTAAGGCTAAAAAGAGACTGTTGGTAAAGAACAGTCTTCAATCACTGAACTGATCGGCTAAATACAAAATTAACAGCTGGTCGCTTTCCCAAACAGAATCAGAATTAACCCCACATTACTTTTGTTAAGTTCACAGTTGTCCACAGAATTCTGAATAGCAGCAGTGGCAATGCTACTAAAAAAGCTATGATAGCAATAGAGACATAAAAGCGGTCTGGAAATTCAGGGGGACAACATGGTATATCTCTTATTTATAAGGTTAGCTTTGCAATAAGGCCTAATTTTTTTTAAATAAAACAACTTCTGTTTAAGCTCTCTCACTCACGAAGGAAAGCTCCTCCCCCCAACAGTGAACAGGATATTTTAGGACTGTTAGTTGTTATTTACATATACCTGTGGGACTGGATATCAGCTGCTTACTTGCAACAGAGCCTCCCCCACACCCGAAACCCAGCCACATCTCGTAGGGTGATTTCAGCACCACTGGGCGAGGGCTACCCTGGCAGCGGGAAGGTGGATGGCAACCAGTGCTATTGTCTCATGGTCTCTCTGTTTTGTGGGGGAGCGGAGGGGAGAAAAGGCCAGGTAACCCCCCTTTTCTCTGACATGTCCTGAATGGGGAAGGGACCAACTCGCCCAGACTCCCTTCACCTTCCCCCAGCTGCACCCCCATTAACCGGCTCGGAGCCGGCTCCACGAGCGACTACAGCCCCCCACCCTCTTAGCTGATCCCTCTGCGCCCCATTCACGGGCAGTGTTGAGTGGAGAGCGCAAAGCCTTCTGGGATTTGTAGTCCACTCCCTGAGTGAACAGCCAGGCTGTGCCGCGGAAAAAACAACATATCCCATGATGCACCGCGTGACCAACCTAATAAACGGTGGGAGAAAAGACACGAAATAAACCCCTGAGCCCCGCTACCAAGATTCCCCAGGAACCCTGTAACCCACCCGGCCGGTCCCCAGTGCCCCCGATACCTTCCCTGGCTCCCAGAGCCAACGGAGCCGCCTCGCTCCTTGCCGCCGCCATACTTCCCACTTGCTAACGACACCAGGCAACCGGGCGCCGCGCGCGCTGATTGGCTGCTTTAAGCCACGGGAAAAAAATAATTTCTGGGTATTTTATCTGCGGACTCCCTAGACCAGAGGCCCCGCGTCGCCCCCAACGGCCATTTTTTAAGTGAGTTTTGTGGGGGGGAAGTCCCTTTCGGACTGAAACCGGGGCGCGTCCTCCCGTGACGCACTGCGCGGCACGCGTTTCCCAGCGTGCGCTGCGCCGGGTATAGAAGGCAGTTTCCCATGATCCTCTCTTTCTCTGGGCCGCTGGAGTCGTTGGAGCTGCCGGCGCCATCATGAAGTAAGTGCCGCCGACCGGCGAGACCATCCGGCCCCATCCTCTAGGCCGAGCCCCCCGCGGGGCCGGGCCGGGCTCCCCCGCGGCGCTAACCCGCTCTGCTTTCTCTCCCCCGCAGGGTCGAGCTGTGCAGCTTCAGCGGCTACAAGATCTACCCGGGTCACGGCCGCCGCTACGCCCGCACGGACGGCAAGGTGAGGGGCCGGGCTCGGAGCGGGGTCCACGGGCTTGGGGGCGGGGTCAAGCGCACCCCCACGCGGGATCGTGGCACCGGCTGAGCCGGCCTGCGAGCGGCGGCCCCCCAGTCAGGGCTCGAACCCCGCCCGGCTGCTGAATGGAAGCGGCGGTCGGCCCGAGGCCACTGGGTGAACGGGCCGCCCCGGCTCCCCTATCGGGTAGGGCTGCGCGCTGGGGCCTCGTAGCTCGGCCGCCCTGGCGAGGGGACTGTGGTGCGTCTGGGTCTGGCGGGCTGCGGGAGCAGGCAGCATCCATGCTGTCGCCTGAGGTTCTGAGGGCAAAGAGTAGTTCACTCGTGGTTGGGAAAGGGGTGGCTTTAAGCATCAGGTCTGAAATCACTAGGCCCTGTAGAAAGTTTTGAATCCCGGGTAGATTGATTCACCCGTTTGTGCTGCCAAAGCCAATACGCTGAGTGGAATGGAGTTCACTGTGTCTGGGTCACTAAGATTCAACTTCAGACAGATGCTCCTTCCTTGGAGACAGAAGCTCTTTTGTTCTTCTGTAAGCATTAAGGTTTGACTCCCTTTGAGTAGTAGTGTAGTGAATCTCAGCAAACATTGGCCTAAATGTACTGACATTTTTTATCTTGGCATTATCTCCTCCCCCCCCCCCCCCGAAGGTGGGGGATGGCTTTTTTAAAAGCATAGATTGTACTACACAATTGGTGCCACATTCGCTTGCCTACTGTTGAAAGCATAGCTTGACATGTGAACATTATGAGAGCTGGGATTTTGATGTCAGGCACTCCTTATTGTGTGATCAGGGATCAGTATTCAAGCATTAATCATTAGTTTTATCAAATAACTGCCTGCTTCCAGTTCCTGTGTACTGGAAAACTGTTTGTACTCACTGGAGTAGTCAGACATTGTTGAAGGCTTTAATGCATCAGTGATGTGGAAAGGCTACCTAACAACTACAATTATGTTTTCTGTTGGTATTTTACTAGCCACAAAGTTGCCTTAAAAATATGTGTTCAACTTCCCAGGTTTTCCAGTTTTTGAATGCAAAATGCGAGTCTGCATTTCTTTCCAAGAGAAACCCCCGTCAGATCAACTGGACTGTTCTGTACAGGCGCAAACACAAGAAAGGGCAGTCTGTAAGTATACTTCATGTGTTGTGACTAACACTGCTTTGACTAGAAACCATTCTTCACTTGAAAGTTTAATCTAGTTTACCAAGCAGGTAAGTGAACGGTTTCTCTGGACATCATAGGGAGCCTAAACTATTGAGTTCTGTAGAATGTAAACCTTCATGTTTGTAAAGAGGTTTTTCAAGCCCTCATGACTGTGAAGACATTCACACACACAGACACTATCTCCATGTAGTTCCAATGCTTAGACTCACAGCTTTGCTAATGACAAGCACATTGAAATGAAGACTGGTTAATCTGACACCATGGCTGCAGTCTTTGGGAGATAGTATTATGTTGGTTCACATTTGAAAGGTGGCTATTTGTTGAGCACAAACTACTAATGTATGTTTCAGTAGTGCCTTGAGGCCTCAGTCAGGGCCATGCTGGGCTAGGGACTGACAAACTGACTAACAGTTCATGACTTAAAAATTGATCTGTAAAAAGTGGGGTGCTTGGTTAATCCATAGGTGGTAACTTTGATTGTTTTGTTTTTCTAAAAGTGAAATTTTATAAATGCACTGCTTGTGGTGGTATGGTAAACTAGTTTTAGAATGTTATCTTTGCAAACAGCCGAAATCAAAAATGCTCCCATCTGTCTGAAAACTTTGGCTGTGAAGTTGAAATTTTATGAGATACAAAAGTATTTTCATCAGGGCTACAGTGTGGCATTTCTTCTGTGTGTATTTCCAGTGGCCTTATTTATGTTCCAGGTGCATGGGCTTTTAAAGATCTTAGTCATATAATGGAAAGTGTTCTGTAAAATCCTAGTAAGTTAGGAGGGTTTCTAGCATTTGGTTTGATTGGCGCAGAGAACTATAGCTAGGGTATGTCTACAACCAGGGGTTATCAACCTTTTTCTTTCTGAGCCTCTTCCTCCTCCCCCTCCCCTGCCAACATGCTTTAAAAAAAAAAAAAAACAACAAAACCCTCCATGGCCCATCTGCCACAACTATTTTTCTGCATATAAAAGCCAGGGCCAGCAAGCAGGGCAATTGCCTGGGGCCCCAGTTAACCTGTAACAAGATGCACTTTTTATTCCAATTTTTTTTCACTGAATGTCAGGCAAGGAGGAAGAACAAAACTGTTATTTTATGGTTTTGTACCGCTGCTCTTCACTGTGATACCTGAGCATCTGCCACTTAAAATAGGCTGGCAGTGTTGAAGTCCCTTGCGGAGTCCAAGCAGCCTCTCTGATTCGTCTTCCTTTTGGGGTTATAGAAAGTTGTTCTTGAATGTAGGACTTTGGAAAGAGGTCTGGAGGAGCAGTGTAGCTGATACTCTGGTTATGCAGGGAAAGCTTTTGTCAAAGAGGAAGGTTTTGTAGTGTTTCCTAAAGATTCATCGTATGTTTTGAAGTTCATTCCATGACCATTATAATAAATAAGCTGGATATAGCTAATTGGCATTCTGTTTCTAGTCAGTCATAAGGAATTTATGTTTAAAAAGTTTAATTTTTAGCTAGCTATTTTCTATACATTGTAATGGTCTGTGAATTCAGTGACTATTACTGTTGGATTCATTTGTCTGCACATAAAGTAGAGATAGTCGTTACCATTAGTCAATATTTGCCAAGACAGAGTAATTTCCTGTTTGACGTATCTGAGGTACTACAGTAATTCTGTATACTACTGTTTGATAGCTGCAGATAAATTTGGACTTCACAGCAACCACTTTGCTAATTGCCCCTTGTGGGTTTTTTGTTCGTTTGTATTTTTATTTAATTTTTTGTAGCACTAATCTATTTTAAACCTCTCCCATTTTAGGAAGAAATACAAAAGAAGCGCACACGCCGTGCAGTCAAGTTCCAGAGGGCTATCACTGGTGCATCTTTGGCTGAAATAATGGCCAAGAGAAATCAGAAGCCTGAAGTGCGAAAGGCCCAGCGAGAACAAGCCATTAGGTGAGAATCTCTAGTCTGTTGCAGCAATCTCCTTAATATTTCCCAAATTATGGATTATGATTTCCTTTACAAATCCCTAAGCTGTGGAAGAGCTCTGTGCTTTGCATGCTGCAGGCTGTTGAAAACAAACTTAGAGAGATTCGTTACTAATTGCTTGGGACTGTAAAATACTAAATTACATAAAATTTGTTAATATTGCTTGAGCTTTTAAAAATTTAGCATTATCCCAATACTTGGGTATGATGTCAGGGTATCATAACGAGACTTGCCATTTTACTAATATTTAATTAAAATTTGTGAGGAAATATAGAGAGACAAGGTGGGTGAGGAAATAATTTCTGAAATACTGAGGAAATACAGTTCAGGGCATGGGAAATGTAGTGTGTCATGATACTCAAGCGTCTTGTTATATAACTAATCTAAGGGCCTTGGTGAACCTTTTGGGATGCTTCATGTGGCTGAATACAGGAGAGCCAACATATCTTATTTTTAAGTTTTAGTCTCATGGGGACTTTTTAATTACTTCACCTATTTTAATAGAACTTGCTTCACTTTTGAAAGGGAGCGATCTGGGTGAGTGGGAGAAATAAATAGCTGTTAATTTGTTCATTATAGTTCTTGCTATAAATTAACAGGGCTGCCAAAGAAGCCAAGAAGGCTAAGCAGGCAACCAAGAAGTCTACACCCTCTACAACAAAGGTAACATCCATTCGGCAATGAATAGGTGCTGTCTAATTGCATCCTGAAATACGGTCGTATATGGTAGTGCAAAATGTTTTAACTGGAAACTTCAGCATTCTGTGTTATCGAAACCACATTGCCCAGGCTTTGTGTTAAAGCTCAACACAGGTTATTCAGGGTGAACAATATCTGAAAGAGTAATCTTATACTTAAAATACTGCTATCTTATCAGGATTCCTCAGTTGTGAACTGCCTCTGAGAGAAGACTTTGGCTAGATAATTAGTTCAGTAGCCCCATAAGTGACTCTGTATTAATGTGTTGATGTATGCCTATTTTGGGAAGCAATAGCATCTACTTTGTCCTCCATGTAATTAGCAGCATGAATACTTGAGCTTAAACTGTGATAAGGCCATGCTGAAGTGAGTAATGGTAATACAGCATATATATAGTGTTGACAATGTTATGCAGTGCCAGTCAGTTCTTTGGTGTCTTATCTCTAGTAGACTTGACATAAATGTCCTAATCAAATGATTATTTGGCAAAGCTTTTCAAAGCGAAAAATGGAAGCATTTGTTTGGAGAACTAAATTTCATCCTCCCTCAATCATGTTTAATGTCTCTTTACAGGCTCCCACAAAGGCTGCACCTAAACAAAAGATTATGAAGCCAGTGAAAGTTTCTGCTCCTCGTGTTGGTGGAAAGCGCTAACTTGTCAAACAGTAGTTGGTTGCATTAAATAAACATCTGACTG